AAGCTATTATGCAAAGTTGACGACCATTTCGTAACGCGAATGCCAAAACCGGCCAGGGATACAGGGCTTAATGTTTCATCCATCACGAGTGCGATTTCCCTTTCACGCCTTTGAAACACGCGACCGGGACTCTAATAGCGTTCTCGAGGAACGTTTGACGCTGCTCTTGCCGAGCCAACCGGAGACGTGGAAATTAACCCCTTTGACCCGATGCACGTAAACTATGGGTACCGTTGGAATTTTTAAATTAAACAGACTGTCTGTCCTCGTAATCGCTATAGTTTATACGGTATTCGCGATCGTTCAACGCGCGTCTCGTTATTTTGGGTACCGAGAGCCTCGGATGTTAATACCTGTTAGTTAATTCGATAAAGATCGACGCAGATGTCGCGAATGGTCGATTCGTACACGCTACAACGATGTAAAGTACGAGAAATTATCGAACGGAAAATTAAAATACTTTTAACAAGTTCTCAGCAACAAATAAATACCTCCCTAACTCTCTGGAAGACTTATTATACTATAGCAACCCTATAGCTTCTATTTTCGCCGGGAACAATTACTTCCCTACTATCTTTATAGTATTTAAATATCCTGAGACTATTAAATCGATGATGGCGATATCGCCAGCTACCTTTATAATCCTACCATAGCCTACTTAATCCCCGAGGTCGTATAAATGAGTTATAAATACCGTAAAATGGTCAGAGTCTCTGCGGACCCGATACCGAATCCAAAGTGTTAAATATAAACGTAAAACCCTAGTGTATAATAAATTTAACGCTTAATTAAGCAATAATAAACCACTTACCTTACGATGATCCCGATGGTGCGCAGGGTAGTAGGCAGGAAAGAGTCACACGGTCACGCGTCGAGCAATTTCGTCCGAACACGGCGAAGAATAACACGCCACTGGCGAGGTGAGCCTGAAACAGGAAAGCGGAAATTAACCACGAGGCTGACCGAGCCTGACAATGTTTACATCGCGTCTTATCTAGAACCACGCCTCCTAGCTTCGAGGCTCGTGCTAGCCCGAATTCCTTACCAGGAGTAATCCCCTATGTATGGAATGCTCATTAGGCGATAGAGGATTATCGCGCATTTTTCTCCGATCGCCATCTTATTTATCTTAATTACCATCCTCCGCGAGCATAAATTTCAACATGGCGGCACAGGGTACCGTTCTTGATCGGTTAATAAGCGAGGACTCGTTCGCGAGATCAACGCGAGAAGCTATTATGCAAAGTTGACGACCATTTCGTAACGCGAATGCCAAAACCGGCCAGGGATACAGGGCTTAATGTTTCATCCATCACGAGTGCGATTTCCCTTTCACGCCTTTGAAACACGCGACCGGGACTCTAATAGCGTTCTCGAGGAACGTTTGACGCTGCTCTTGCCGAGCCAACCGGAGACGTGGAAATTAACCCCTTTGACCCGATGCACGTAAACTATGGGTACCGTTGGAATTTTTAAATTAAACAGACTGTCTGTCCTCGTAATCGCTATAGTTTATACGGTATTCGCGATCGTTCAACGCGCGTCTCGTTATTTTGGGTACCGAGAGCCTCGGATGTTAATACCTGTTAGTTAATTCGATAAAGATCGACGCAGATGTCGCGAATGGTCGATTCGTACACGCTACAACGATGTAAAGTACGAGAAATTATCGAACGGAAAATTAAAATACTTTTAACAAGTTCTCAGCAACAAATAAATACCTCCCTAACTCTCTGGAAGACTTATTATACTATAGCAACCCTATAGCTTCTATTTTCGCCGGGAACAATTACTTCCCTACTATCTTTATAGTATTTAAATATCCTGAGACTATTAAATCGATGATGGCGATATCGCCAGCTACCTTTATAATCCTACCATAGCCTACTTAATCCCCGAGGTCGTATAAATGAGTTATAAATACCGTAAAATGGTCAGAGTCTCTGCGGACCCGATACCGAATCCAAAGTGTTAAATATAAACGTAAAACCCTAGTGTATAATAAATTTAACGCTTAATTAAGCAATAATAAACCACTTACCTTACGATGATCCCGATGGTGCGCAGGGTAGTAGGCAGGAAAGAGTCACACGGTCACGCGTCGAGCAATTTCGTCCGAACACGGCGAAGAATAACACGCCACTGGCGAGGTGAGCCTGAAACAGGAAAGCGGAAATTAACCACGAGGCTGACCGAGCCTGACAATGTTTACATCGCGTCTTATCTAGAACCACGCCTCCTAGCTTCGAGGCTCGTGCTAGCCCGAATTCCTTACCAGGAGTAATCCCCTATGTAAATATTCTTTCGACCTAACAGCGTATAACCTTGTTGTTGCCTAAGGACCGTGTGCCCCGAGGCGACGACTGGAATCGACAGTTGTCGTAGTTTCTGCTATTTCGTTTCACTCTATCGGAAAGAAGATCGGAAACAAAGGATCCATCCACGACGACGGGGTCTTTATCTTCCAGTGGACCCCAGTCGCTGTGCCCCCTAAGAGCTGCTTCTAATAATTCCAGCGCAGCACGGGAAAGGGGTAGGCACGATAAACGGTCGATTATTTGCAGGCACAGAGGTACGTCGAAGTCAGATATTCGCGGTGGATGGAGGAAAAAACTGACCGCGAGGGATCCCCCTGAAGCGGCGAAGAAGTCTCGCGGCCAATAAACCGAAAGGGGTAGACATTTTTCTCGTGGACACGGGCTGCTTTGAATTCAGATTGCGCGGCCATGCGGCCCGCGGTTTTGTTCCTCTTACGCCGGCAATTTATGCAATCTGACCCGCGCGTCCTCCGCGTATTTATAACCGGGGGCCCTTTGTGTGTTAATTTGTAGCCGGGCCCGCGATCCACGCCACGGCCGCTCGCTCTCTCCGTGCTCCTCGTCGACCTTTGATCTGCGAACCCCGGCGGCGAGCGGCCGCCGGCTCCTCCAGATTCCCGAATCACGATCCACCGTGATCGGCCCTTAATTAGCCGACCGCCAAATCGCCGCCGAATCTCTGTCCAATCGTCCCGGACGCTGAACCCGTTCCAGACTCTTGAATCTCGCGGATCACGTCGCCGATCATCGCTGATTCTGTTTCTTGGCACGTCACCAGCAGATCCACGGTGCATTTATTTCTCTTCGCGAGCATATATGTACGCCAATACATATGGTACTTCCAGGTGCCAGTGTATACGACTCTGTCAGCGTGAACTTCCGGTTTCTCACCGCGTTGAATCCGGTGCCGATATCGCTGACAGCGACCGAGCACTTGGACCGTATTTGAGACGACTGACCATGACAGACAGCCAGAAATTTTGCAAAAGAATCGGCACGTTTTGTAATACACGCGAAATCAAATTATATTTTTGTTTAGAGTGTTTCAACAAATTTATTTTTTAATTTTGGTACCGTAGGTCCTCAGGGACCGACGCCGGGCTCAATGTGTTAACCCTTTGGGGATGAAGCGGTTTTGAGCAAACCGTACCGTGGGGCCAAGTTGCTACCAAGATAGTCATTCAAAATTAATAAGCTTGTTTTTACTTCAAACGTGATTTTCGTCCATAGCTACGTTGGCAATAAGGACATAAAACAGTCCATCATTTAACTTAGGACATGCAGTTCTAGGGCGTATATACGTGTTTCTCAGCCATAGCAACGCGTCCCTCTGCCCTATCAAAAGGTTAAAATTGGGTTAGCGAAATATCGTCGATCCTTAGTCACTCAAACTCTGACAAGTCTCCTCATGGGTTCATACGATCCTCTAGATACGATCTAAAACTACAAGCACTCCTTGTTCCCTCGAATAGGCTACAGCTGAGGGATTCTTCGAGTTTAGAGCTAGATCCGAGGTATCGTGGTCGGGAAAAAAGATACAAAAGCGGTCTTACCTATATTTACACAGAGACCAGGGAGTCGTAAAAGTGCCTACGTGGGGTATGTTTCTGCTCGAGCGATAAGGAAACCGAAGACGTGGTTTAGACCCGTACACTTGTGTCGTGGCTAAATAAACCCCAGCGAAAGATTCAAGCCGAAAAAGCTCTCGAGTTTACGATCGCGGTTATACCCTTCGACTTGCCACGCTCAACACCCCATTCTAAACGAAAGAAGCCGAAACTGACACTTGACCTCGGTGTGCCGTTCGTGGATCGACAGGGACGAGTTTCGAGCGAGATTCCTCGGGCAGCCTGGCGCAAAACGCAGGTAGCACTGCGACGGTGCGAAGAGGAACGTCGCTGGGGACAATACGGTACGCAAATCCCGTTACACCTGGTACCTGGCTGGCGTGTATCAGGAGCCACGTATCTCGGGATTCGCGTGCAGTCGTGGAGGATGATAACGAAATGGAAGCCCGAGTAATTTATGTGGCCACGCGTTGCGTGGCGCCCTTTAATTATCGGACCCAAAATTGGCGGCGGAAGCAGGAGAGAAGTACGCGCGTGCGGTGGTCCAATTAACCGCTGGAAAGAAGGGATCCCGTCTTTTCCATCTTCCCCACTTTGCGCCCGAGTCGGGTCTGTTTTCTTATTTTTCCCTGGCCGCCCCGAAGCCACCGAGTCGCGCCATATGGAACAGCTTAGACGGCATGCGGAAAGAAAATATTGGCTACCGAGAAATGGCCACGCGGCCATCACCGATCGACTTTGATCATCCGATTTTTATAGCACGAGCTGCCTGCCGCTGAAATTCCGCGGCTGTTCCCCGGAAATCATCGCGGCGTGGGGTAATCCCCGGTTCTCGTGAAAGTGCAACGATCCGGGTTTCCACGGGAGAGGAGCCCCCTCTTCGTTTTCGACGCGTTTATGGTTGCGTCCGCGCGGAATCCGTGGAAACATTTCCTGACGGAGTTCCTGCGCTCGTGAGACGGGGACGGGTTAATCGAATGTAAGGATCGATGGCTCGATGGCCAAGATACGCCATGTATTTCGTGGGATTGTGTAAATGTACAAGATCACAGGACGGATAACGTCGACGAGAAAAGAAGGAATTGTAAAAGACGCGTCTTTTTCTCTGTTACAGCGCTGAAGGTGAAGCTTATGCTAAGGCGACCCATCAATCAGCTGGTTGCGCAAGGCATCATGCCGCGTAAGTATATCCACCGTGTATAAAAGTTTCGCTGTGGTTTCCATCGGATTCGCGGCCACTCCGTTTCACGCGACATTTGCAAGTTTATCGTCGAATTACATTCCTCCGACGTATCCTTATTTAACCGTAACGCGTGTAAATGTGGCCAGGAGCAGGGTAGACACTCGAACGGGTCGTTAAATTGGCGCTAGATTCGATTAGACCTTTGGAGAACGCGACTCGCGAGCAAAAGTGGACAAAGAGGTGCGAGCGTAAAAATTCGTGGACGCTCTGGTATTCACTGGGTAGTAAAAGCGAAGGAAAACGATCGTGTCCGCAGGAAGAAATTTATTTTCCCGTGACCAGAGGGAACTCGGGGAGTTAGATTTAACGAGTTCGTCAATGTTTCGCCTTTTTTCCCGTGGTAACGGCCGATTAATCCACTTACAACTTAATTACCACGTGATTGCCCGTGATGGCTCGGCCAACCGCGTAAAAGGAAGTAACTGGGACACGAGCGACTTCCTAAAGTACCTTAAATTGACGTGTTCCCGTACGGGTGATCAATTGCCCGCTAATATCGCGCTTGATCTTTGCGTTTCGACGATGGCGATTCTACGGGAACCTTGTCTGCGTACCTGCCCTCTGCGAGTCGAGCTGTCGTTAGCGATTTAATATCGAGGATAATAAAATGGCGACGATATGGAAACACGAGCGGTATAATTATTCGTGGAAGAACGAGTGAGCGTAGCAATGATCGGAGGTACATATGGAGCAAATTCGCGGTTGTGATTCGCGTATCGGTTATTCATAATCGCGTTGTATCGCGCTATTATTACACCGGATAATCTGATGAGGCGAACGAGGTTTATCAATTGCGCGATACGGCCGGAGTGTTCGATAATGGGGTACCCGGATAACCCGACGATCGAATGAGCCTGGAATCACGGGATAATCCGATAACCTGGTAATTCAGTGAGCCGGCAGTTTAACAGAATAGCTCGTCGATTGAATTTATCGACTTCCAGCCCGGTAATCTGACAAGGCGACACATCGAATATCGAATCTACGTACAATTCGCTTCGACAGAGCAAACTATTATTATGCGTGACACCATGCGCATCGAAATACACCCTGTTTATCACAAGCCGGTGGAAATGCAGCGCCCGACACCCTCCGTTTCGACCGGCGTTCATGCGAGCCATCATGCGCAATTTCGTTCCGCGAGATTTACTCATTTACAGCTTCCAAGAGTCGAAGATATCGCGCGTGGCAAACGGGTAATGGTTTTTTCGAGGAAGTGGCCCGCGATGACGTTGTAAATCTGTTTACAGACCACGATTAATTTCACGTTGCAAATTCCTGTTCGTTTCGCCCGGCAAAGAATCCTAATTATAACGCGCGCGACGAATAGTTTATCTCGCCATTTAACCCATTGCAAACTGAACGCTTTATTGCTAATTATATACCCGGTAGCTTGCTGTTTTCTAATTATTCCTGACAGCAGCGCGGAAAATCCCAGGTATCTCCTAAACACACGAGCCAGTAGGTACCGTAGGATTTGGGGCAACGGCTACAGGGGTATATGATGCACCGTTGGAATGATTACGAATTGAGTATACCAGATTTGGATTGGGTTCGAGTTTTATTTGGGGTAGGTTTGGATTAGGTTTCGACTAGGTTCCACTAAGTTTTGACTAGGTTTCGACTAGGTTTCGACTTGGTTTGGACTAGGTTTGGACTAGGTTTGGACTAAATTTGACACGAGTTTGTGTCTAAGTTGAACGAAAGAATCGTCAAGATCGAGTCTCGACTTTAGCAAAAAATTTAGACTGGGTTTCGACTAGGGTTTGACTAGGTTCCACTAAGTTTTGACTAGGTTTGGACTAGGTTTGGACTAGGTTTCAACTAGGTTTCGACTAGGTTCCACTAAGTTTCGACTAGGTTTGATCTAGATTTGAACTAGGTTTCGACTAGGTTCCACTAAGTTTGGACTAGGTTTGGGCTAGGTTTGGACTAGGTTTGGACTAAATTTGACACGAGTTTGTGTTTAAGTTCAACAAAAGAATCATCAAGATCGAGTTTCGACCTTAGCAAAAGGTTTGGACTAGGTTTGGAGTAGGTTCCACTAGGTTTGGACTATGTTTGGACTAGATTTCGCTTAGGTTTCGACTAAATTTGACACGAGCTGGGATCTAAGTTAGACGAAAGAATCGTCAAGATCTAGACTCGACCTTAGCAAACTCGTGTCAATATAGTCCCCTGCTCATAAGCTTTCAAACGCCGTTCTCCCTATGGGCATTCCCCTAAATACTGCATCGCACTCACTACTCAAACGCCGCGCTGCGAAATGCGAGATATTTCGCAATCCGTCAGCGACATGTCAAGTTCGCAGTCCAAGGTTTAACGATCAACGGAACCGCCTATTAAATCATTCTCGAATTCCCCTTTCTCTGCCATAGCTGTGTCACGAACGTATTTATAGCCCGCCAGAACAATTCAGGAGGAATATTCTTACACTCGTGAACGTCACAAAGCGTACCGTTTTCGCGAACACGATGAAGCGTCGAATAACGCCAGACTGAGTGGTCCAAGTCGCGTAGCATCGCGACTTTGCGTGGAAGCGGTTGCATAACACGCGAAATTTTCCGTACGCGTACGCTTATTGTGCTATACAACACGCCCACGCGCGATCTTCGCGAGTGAGCCAGCGTCTGAGAAACAGCGTGACGCCACCCGTTTGCCAGGATCACTACAGATCGCTAGAGATCGCTAGAGATCGCTAGAGAGTACTAGGTATCGCTACGAATCGCCGTCTAGGAAATACTAAGTATCCCTAGGGGTTACCTACTATTTAGGGATCACTAGAAATCGCAAGAGATCGCTAGAGAGTACTAGCTATCGCTAAGAATCGCCATCTAGGAATTATTAAGTATCCCTAGGGGTTACCTGCTATCTAGGGATCACTAGAGATCGCTAGAGATCGCTGGAGAGCACCAAGTTTCGTTAGGAATCGCTGTCTAGGAATTACTAGGTATCCCTAGGGATTACCTGCTATCTAGGGATCACTAGAGATCGCTAGAGATCGCTGGAGAGCACCAAGTTTCGTTAGGAATCGCTGTCTAGGAATTACTAGGTATCCCTAGGGATTGCCTGCTATCTAGGGATCACTAGAGATCGCTAGAGATCGCTAGAAAGTACTAGGTATCGCTACGAATCGCCACCTAGGAATTACTAGGTATCCCTAGGGATTACTAGAAATTACTATCCACGGGGCACTAGGGATTTGTATCTAGGGATCACTAGCGTTCTAAATCGAATATTTCCCAGGAACGAATCGAATATTTCGCGAGCCACGCGTCATAGATAGGGTGATTATCAGAGAACGTTCATAGAGTACGCTTGTCGTGAATGGTAGGTGAATCCGCGAGAAGTCGATCGTATTCCAACGACTAGCGACGTTTAATAGGCCGAGCTAACAACGTCCTCGAAACATCTTCACAAGGATGATCGCGATTAGGACTGTTCGATTGCGGCTCGTAAATCTGGCATCCCGATTGCCATGCCACGACTGCCGCCTGTTGCGTCCAATCGCGGATGATTTAGGGGTGCCGTTTGCCTTTGCGCTTTGTCTGAACGTTTGCTTGATGAGACTCTGTTGATGCACGCTGGCAACTGAAACGGTACGATTGCCGTAAAATACGATCGTTATTTACGTCGCGTTGGGAATTAAATCACTAGATATCCCGGCTTTGTGTTTGCGCGAAAAGGCTGTTAGAGCTAAAAGGTTGCCTTTGATGTCAAACCTCTAGACCTTCGGAACGGGAACTTCGTCGATGCCGAATAAAGGAATAAAAGATTAAAGTCTAAAGGAAGTATGCGAAGAACTTTTGAGCAATGAAACAGAACGATCCCACTTTCGTGAAAATTGAGATGCTTCCAAGATCATTAGCTAACCCTAACTCTGACTCCTTTCGATTTCGCGTAAATCTCGTCACTGACCTAGTCACGAGCACCAGGTCCTTCGGTGCACACAAGGTTGCGTTTCAAGCACGCGAATCTCGTGCTAATATCGAACTGAAAGCAAGGAATCTCACGCGTTTTGCATTTTATCGCACAAAATTCACGGATGTACTCGATATAGGCATCATTCGCTTTTACGACTACGTTCCCCACGACAAAGCATAGTCGGAGCCCATGCACGTCCATCGACCGTTGATTTACTCGTGTCTCGGTAGAAACTAGACAATTGGGTCGCAGCTGGCTCGCGCGAATACGTACTCGCACTTACAATCGATACACCCGCGGCGAGTTTCGCCAACAAACACGCGTGGGTGAGACAAAAGCCGCGAGCCATAGCTCGGGGTTGTTCGAAAGGCCTAATTGATTCGAATCGTTCGGTTAATTTTAGCATTTCCTACGCAGTCCCGGCTACGTTCGCCGCTCCCTGTCTTTCCTAGTACTCACAGACTCGCGGTTCACCGATTTTGCACGCGGCTAACGAGCTTCCGTTAACTACGGAGTTACGCTGCCAATTCGTACCGCATGCCGACGCTCGGTTAAACGATCGAGATACTATCCAGGAACCTGCCACGATTTTCCGCGTTTCCACGATTCTATGGGCCCTTTAGAAACGCCGTGCAACCTCGTTTGCGAATGCATTTACACGCTCGGTAAATTGGCACTCGGGATGAGACAGATGAGACGGGGTCCACTCAGCCTAGCTCCACCTTTGTTCTCTCGGAATCGACTACGTGGGTACTATTTTCGTCGGTGCAAATTAACTCGGACCATGCCAATTAATGAGAAAGGACCGCATGCTGAGGAGTATATTCGCTAATTATTAACCCTTTCGCTTGGGCAGTTCAATCCGTCGAAGTACCGTCGCTGAACGGAAATGTGAACAGTGCTCGCCAGAAATATGCACGGTGGTTTCTTTATATTTCTGTACGTTTCCCTAAGTCTTAACCACTTGCATCTTAACAACAAACGCGTCCACCATTTAACCAAAGTATCGTAGAACGAACAGGGAAAAATTCGAAACGAATTTAGCAAAATCCTAAACCCAGTATTTTGCAACAAAACGGTATATAAATCTTAGAAATTCGAGTGAAATGAATTTTCAAGCCTCTATATCACTGTTCGATCATCGCCCAAGATTCGGTACAGACCTGATCCCTAGAGATCGCGGAAGAAGTATCATTTTAAACGAATCGGGAGCCATTTAACCACTTGCGCTGGCAAGGAATTCACAGACGCGTGTGCCAGAACGGTCCAATGTTTCTGTAACAATTGCCTAACGACGTGTATACCACGTCGTTGGCGATTCTGTGACAAAAGCATTACGACGTGCGTGACACGTCTTTCCAGCGCAAGTGGTTAAATAACAACCGTGCCGAATAAAACAATCGTATTCAAATTGAACTTGTATATGCATCATTTGGATGCCGGGAAAAGGGGTGTCCGACCCAGGAGTCATCTCGTGGATGCTGCCTGTAAGTGGTACTCGAAGTGCAAGGGTTAAGGAACGCAATCTTCATTGACTCTGTCAAATCCTTATTTTCGTATTAACCCTTTGCCGTCGATGTCTCTGCAGCATGAAAGTCAGGGCCTCGTGTAGCACGGCGAACGAGACTAGAAACTGAAAATAGTTAAACAATGCACCCCCAGAAGCAACAATGATTAATGCTACGGATTTTTCCTTTCACGCACGATATAGAAATTATCAAGCGCTTCCAAGCGCTTGGATCATTCGCTGATGACAAGAAAAAAATTGGCAATAATAAAATTTAGGCGAGGATTATTTTCGAGGATTTGAAATCCCAAAGTTATCGATCAGAGATGACACGTTTGTTGTCAAAATTTTGCAATAGTACTCTGATTAACCCTTATTGGATGCTAGCTTTTTATACGCGATCCTCACTAGGTTGTAGCTGATTTCGGTAAATATGCGAAAGGTTTCCGTCTTGTCACTTCCCACGTGACGCACGACCGCAGAGACAAAGTATTATTGTCACACGAGAGGTGACTTACGACCGATAAGGGTTAACCCTTTCGCCTCGAGCGCCGCTATAGACGGCATCCATGAGATGATCTGTGAGTACGAGCGCTGTATATCTGGCATCCAAATGATGCGTATACAAGTGCAATCTGTATACGATTGTTTCATTCAGCATAGCTGTTATTTAAGACTTGGAAAAACGTACAGAAATATACAAAAATCACACGCACTGTGCATATTTCTGGCGCGTGCTACCGTTCAGTGATGGTACTTCAGCGAACCGAACTGAACTGTGAACTGAAAGGGTTAAACACGAGTCAGTTTCAACAAATTCTGTGTGTTTTAATATCCATATGTCGACTTTAAATTCTAAATACGGAAAAGTAACTGCGAAAAATTTGTTGTGTCCTTCTGGTACTTCCAAGAGCGAAATCTATCAACCGGAAAGGCTTAACCCTTTCAGGGTGTAACAAAATTACAAATTCGGGTCCAACAAATGCCCAGTTCTTTTATGTTCGAAAACACTTTGACGTGTAATAGAAAAATGTAATAAAACGTGTTTTATATGTTTCATATCTTGTTAGTAATTAATCCGTGTATAGTATTTGACGCTCAGCCCGTGATAAACTGCTAATGGATTAAATGGTCGACTCTGATCCTGTGGCTACGTCGGACTCGACTTCGGCTACACTTTCTTCCAAATGTTAACGAAGATTCACGCGACTTATCTTTACGATCACGTCGGAGAAAGCGAGCCCGTCGCATTTTTCCCAAATACCAGTTTACCATACGGCACGTCTACGGGCAAATGCGTAACGCGAGTGATCAAACGCGAAATTACCCCCAGCTAAGACGCTAACGCGAGGTCGTCCCGTGACGTATTTACGGTGGAAAGTGAGGTTAGGCGGAACTGGCGGACGAGTGGAGGGTAAGACGACGAACAACGTGTTTCCACTGCCACGTCGGCGCACCGTAGGTGGCGCGAGGCTTTTATTCCGTGCAATGAAGCGGCCGCCTTGTGCGCGTCGCTCGTCCGGAAATAGTGGCGCGTAGGAATGCGACGAGGCGTTTGACGTTGACACCAAAATGGCGCCGCGCGGCCAGACCTTCGAGGGCCATCGTCCCGGAAATTGATGCGTGCAGCATGCGCCGCGAGGACACCCTAAAAGCTTCGAAAGTGCTTTTTCATTCGGCCGGTTCTTTTATTAGATCGTGGAGCCCTTCGTCGCGGAGCGTGGCCAAGCTTCTTCCGCGCCGCGCCGCGCCGCTATCGACGCGCTGCCGAGAGAAGCTCGATGAAAGTAGTCGCATTCCAAACCGCGCGTGATTTAAGCGTCACCGGAGGCAGATAAAATCTCACGCGTAGAAGACTTTAATCCCAACGCGGATGAATTAAAACTGTTTTCTAACGGCCCAGGAATAGCGATTTCCTGCGCGAGGCAAGGCTGTTTGCTCTAAAATTAAGCTCCGATCGGAACGGTACTTCCGATCGAACTTGCCTCTCCTTGTTAGCGTATCGAACGGTAAACATATTCGCGGGAACTCGGGACTCCTAACAACGTATTTTCCAATGCGTGGAACGCGTTAATTCCAGAAACGCAACGTCAAAGTGTACTCTCGAGATCGCGTACCTTGATCGCGAGATGCTCGACTAGGCACGTCTACGGTATATTTAGTCGGTGTTGCCGTGAAACGGAGCTAGCTCGCGTGGTAAATCGGGAAGAATCGGTTTACTGGAAAACTAAGGAACGTGGATCGGTATTCCGGCAGCATTGAAGACACCACCGGCGTTCCACGAGCAGCGCAAGCAGTTGGAACGGGCGAAAACCGGTGACCTGCTGAAGGCGAAGATCCAGCAGAGACCAGGCCGGGAGGAGCTGGTTAGGCAGCATATCCTCGAGGATGGGGGTCACGTGGATCCAAGCCTGGCCGAGAGGCAACGGATGTTGAAAAAGGCCAAGTTAGCCGACCAGCTGAACGACCAGCTCAGTCATCGACCTGGTCCGCTCGAGCTCATCCAGAAGAATATTCTCCACACGGAGGAGCCCATTGAGAGGGCGGTCAAAGGTGAGCGTACGCATCCATTCGATCTGCCTCTCGCGATCTTGATCGATAACCCCCGGACGTTCGTAATAGGAACGCCGAGAACGACAGGGAGCAATTTCCCAGACTCCTTTCCGTTCTTATTCTCCGAAACTTATTCTCACGTGAAAATTTTCCTTCAGAGGGTCACATTCCCTTCAAGGCTACCTGCGAGGGCCAGGTAACGAAGCCTCAGCATCCGGACCACTACATCACCTTCGAGGATGATTCCCAGAGTTCGGAAGGTGCACCCTCGCCGCAGCTGGAGTCCCGGTCGGACGTTCTCGAAACGGCGGCTGCCTCGGCGGGTATAGTGACCGTCTCCCTTAGTATTCCGACTACCGGAGGTGCCGTGGTGGTCTCGTCCACGTCGCCGGTGTTCCAACAGGCGTCGAACGAGTCGACGATACAGACGTTCGCGGAGCTGTGCAATACCGTGGTCGGTTCGCAGCAGCAGCAGCAGCAGCAGCAGCAACAGCAGCAACAGCAGCAGCAGCAACAGTCGCAACAGCAGGCCCAGCACAATCAGCAGCATGCTTCTACGCAGGTGAGCAGCCCGCGAAACGAGTAAATCGCGATCCCCGACGGAAGCTTGATTTATCGGTCGATGTAGATGGACGATAACGGCGTTCCCCGGTAGAAAGAAAGACATTTAGAGACAATAAGCGGGGAACGTCGATAGCGGTGGAAAAAGCATCGGAAGACGGCGCAAAAATAGATTTACGTCGGACGTTAAGCGCTGCTCATAAATTGGCAGCGCAGCGATGTAAGCTGATTAATCGGGGATTCCACGGTGAAAAAAGCAACGATCTCTGTTAACAGGCGAGTCAGACAAACGGTCCATCGACGACCCTCCTTCCACTGGCGCCGGCGCCGAGTCCGATGTCCTTGGGTTCGACCACGTCCAGCCTGAGTCCCCTTTCCAACATCTCGATAGCGTCGCCACCGGCACCACCGCCGGCCGCCATCACCCCCAGGCCGCAGCCGAGCCCCATAGCCGCTTCCACGTGTCAGAGGAGCGACGCGCCCGGCAAGGATAAGAACAGGAAGAAGTCGAAGACCAAGAGCCAACCGAAGACTCGTACCATCAAGTTTCACGAGTACAAAGTGAGTTACATTGATTGCTTCCATTGTACCTTTGATTGCCCCTACTGTCTCTCCGCGTTTGCCGCTCGACTAACGCTTTCCGTCCTGTGTCGCTGAGTCTACGTGACTAGGATAGTCGTTGCCAATTATCGGCCTTCGCGTTGAGTAATCGTGGTATTATACGCGCGTTATACATCCATCGTACGATCCCGGGATCGATGTAACCGCGGAACGTGCACGGGAGAACAGGAATCGGCGTTGCGTTTACTACTTTCACTCTCGATTCTGTTTATATTTCTGGCTGGTGGGCGTGAACACGCGGCTTTTATGTCCGCAAGGTGCAAATATATTACTTAAACGTTAAACTTGCCCGTACGAAAGTAAAAACGCGCGTAACGTTTTACGACTCGCCTCCGCGTACGGAGAAAAATCGGCAAATCGCTTTTCGATCCTGCGTGCCCCCGCGACGCGCGGTCATCGGCGTCTAGGGTACCGGGCTGTCGACGTTGGCAGAAGAGATACAGGAAAACGAAGAAGGAGAGAACGAAACGACGGAAAGTGGAGAAAGCGTGGAAGAAGGGAGGAAAGTTGGCGAGGGAGAGAAAACGGAGACAGGAGGATGGATAGAAGAAGGCAGAGACAAAGAAGAAACAAGAGGAACACGAAGCTCGAAGAGGGAAAAAAAGGAGAAACGGGAGAAAAGAAAGCAGACGAGAATGGCCGAAGAAAAAAGAAGAAAAGAGAAAGAAAAGGAAAGAAAAGGAAAGAAAAGGAAAGAGTAAGAGCGGGCGACGGAGAGGGGGTAAAAGCAAAGTAAAAAGGGATACGGACGGCCGGTAAATCTCGGCTCCCGTAGCCCGCGAGGAAGCAATTCTTCTCTCTCTTTTCCCCCTTTCTCTCTTACTCTCTCCCATTCTTTCTCTCCCTTTCTATCCGAGCAAAGAGAAAAGAGAGAAACGCAGAAGGAGATCGTATCGGGTGATTAACTCTCGCGATCTCTCGAAGGGCCTGGGGCCCAGGGCCCACCTCGTTAGCTCTGAGTAATTCGAGCGCTAATTGCACCTAAGAGCGAGGAAGCCAGGGAGCGGCGAAGAAGCGGTTCCAAGGGGGTCCAAGCAGTTCGGGGCTGGGCCGTGGAGGGGGCCGAGGGGCCCGGGGGCCAGCCAAGTCCGCGATAGGTGCCAAAGGCCCAGGCCACGCTCCCGAAACATTCGGGATATGGCGTGGTCGGTGTGAAAGCGAACCGGGAATGGGCGTGCAAATGAGGGCGCAGAAAACATCTTGATGTATCATTTATCACTTGCGCCCTGGCTTCTCCTACGTTGCCGATCCTCCTCCTCGGATCGCTAACTCGATTTTTGCCGCAGTTCTTTTCCTCCACGCGTTCCCGCGCGACGAATACTCGGAATTTTTCTCCTTTGGGGAACGATCGCGACCGGCCATGTCTCTTGTCTTTTAATTGCGCGTGCCCTTTCGGTTGCGGAGGAAGGGTAGTATACAGCTGTCGCTTAGGACGGAACATCGTTCACGATGATTTCGCGATTAAGCAATTAAGGTGATCCAACCAGCGGAGGATACCAAGCCCCTTTTCGTTCGTCGCTGGTGATTAATATCGACTAACGTTGAACGATGATTGTTCCCAGGGCCCGCCAAACGCTCAGAAGACCTCGGTGTCGTCCACCACTTCCGGCATCGGCTCGGCACCGCCCGGCGAGACAAGCTACGAGCTTCTCCTCCAGCAGCAGCAGCTGTTCCTCCAATGGCAGCTCGAATGGCAGCATAAGGTACGGCATGAGGCCCCCCCGAGAAACCGATCGCCGGGCAAATAGAAATGTTATAAAGCGTCCACTTTCCTCGCTCGTTAGCAACAGAGAAGCGAACGGACGAATCTCAGCCGGATGTGTCTCGTTAACGCCGTACTTTCTCCCCGACGATTTGCATAGCAATTACGTTATTACGTCTAAGTTTATAATCGAAGATCAGGCTCGAGTTGCGAGACTACACGGCGGTTACTCAATTCGAACGTTCGTTTTATGTAATTATCCTGCCGGCCGGATTCGAAATTTCCCTACCGTTCGAACCTTGCGTAATTCCGTGTTGTTTGTTTCTCTTGTTTAGTATCCTCAGATCATTCTACCGGCAGCACAAAAGCCATTGTCTTTGAACAGTAGCGGCGCCAGTGACGCTGGCAGCATCAGCGGAAGCAGCGTGAACGCGCCGAGTCCTGCGCCCTCGAATTCCTCCAACAACCCCTCGGAACAGCCGCCCCTGAGGCCTTTGGGCAAACTGGAGGATATGAAAGGTAAATCTGCGAAGCACGGCTGGAAACTAGCCGATTAATCCACTCTGTCGGAGCACCAGAGAGAACCACGATTCACCCTAATACGTGTCACGGTTTCAGTAAGTGATCTCAAAGTGGAACTGAAACGTCGAAACTTGCCGGTCTCTGGCTCAAAGCCGCAATTGATCGAGAGATTAAAGCCATTCACGGAGTCGTCTAGCTGCAATTCCACGTCTAGCTCGAATGGGCCGCATGTGACGCACATGGGCCACATATTGATGGACACCCCGGGGCCAGTCACGTCCGACGAGTCGAGCTCCCATGCCAAAAGTCCTGGCTCCGCTGTCAAGGATGAACCGAACAGTCCAAGGACAGACTCGCCGCATGGTAGCGAGCACGATGATCCATCGAGTCCTCCAGGTACTTGAACGTGTCCTTTGTTATACGCGTCTCCTCGGCGATTCGATGTAGAACGTATGACTGATTTAACGAATGCGAGCGATGAAATATTCGAAAAATTCTTTTCGAACGCAACACACGTCGGTGTTTTCACGATGTAGTTCGTGTTGCAGGGGATGACATAATCAAAGAGCAGAGGAAACGAATAAAAGAGTTGCAGCGCGAGTTACTCAAGTCTCAACAGCAGCTTCAACAGATCCATCAAACGCAACCGTCTACCGTTCATGCCGAGAAGTTGGTGCTGCAGCAACACATTCAGAACAAGATGCAGCAACGGCAGCTGGCAGCGGTGCACGTGCAGCAGTTGCAGCATCTGCAGCAGCAGCAGCAGCAGCAACATCAGCAGCAGCAACAGCAACAGCAGCAGAATCAACAGCAGTCCCAACATCAGACCCAACAGCAGCAGCACGCTACGTTCCAACAACTGAACGCGAAAGCCAGCCTAGCCGCGTTTCTGCAGGCGCAGCCGAATAACACTACTACCATCCTGGACTCTTCGACCTTGACTGCGATTAATAATAAGAAGAATCAGACCAAGAACAGCGCGACTGTGCAGATACCTACGGCGATAGTTTTCAACCTGTCCAAGCCTACGAAACTGAACGGGTCGCTGATAAGCGCCTGGATGGCACAGGCTCAAGCGCAGCAACAGCAACAACAAGCTGTTATCACAGAGGATGGAAAGCCACCGCCACCGCAGTACGACGAGGCTGCAAAGCTTTTGAAGGTGAGAATACTCTTTGTCTTTACGTATCCGAATGGTGGAATTTGAAGGCAATACAAATTTGCTCCTACTCTAACTCTAAACACTCTACCCTGTATGCTTTGACAGACAATTTTGTCTCTTTTCCACTTTGTTCAATGATTTTTGTACACTCAGGTGAAGATTGAGCCTGTTCAAAAGAGTCACATCAAGAGTCAGGTGATGGACGACGTGCTGGAGATTCTGATCAAGAATGGCGAGTTACCACCTAGCGCTGCTCAGGATCCGGCCACGCCAACGACTCCCAATAGGCAACTCCAACAGAATTTGGTGTTTACGGCGCCTGCGGATAGTCAGACTCATTCGTTGGTTTTTACCGCTGCTAGTCCAATCAGTCCAATCAGTCCGATCAGTCCGATCAGCCCAATGGCGATGGAGGTTTCCCAAAGCGATTGCATGATTTCCCCGGCGCCAGCGCCAACGCCACCGCCTCCTTTGCCTTTGGCCACCTTTTCTATTCAACTGCAAACCGCGTTACAACAGTTACAGCAGCAGGAAGAGATTTCGTCCTTCAACACTGACTTGTTGACCTCCGAAGGCGACCTGGACACTGCGATGCTTCTCAGCCCGCAGTCTATTCAACAAACGTCACCCGATCCTCAACCTCCTCAAGAAGTAACGTCATCAGATAACGCGAATTTAGACCTTAAGGTAAATCCAGTTATGGAGAAAGAGAACGCTTCGGAATTGATCAGAGATTTTCTTCCTTTTTTAAAATTTGTCGACGATACGTATGTTACATCTATGATGCTTCGTTTTAGGAACTTGAGTTGGACCTCGAGACTCTAGACACGATGGATTTCAGCCAATTAGAGTGCGATCTCGGAGTGAAGATGGAAGCTCCGCAAGAATTGATGGATATCGGCGACATGCCTATGGATATGGATGATCCAGACTGGCTGGATTCTCTGATGCCACAGTCACCTCCGACTGCTTCGACGACGGTATTGAATCATCAGCCAGCACCGCCGACGAGTTTGTCGAGTGGCACGGACATCTATGATCCGTTGTTAGCTAGTAGCCAAGACCCGTTTGATCTCTTCAACATGGAAGACTCCGACTTCAAGATGTCTTCTGATCTATACTAACCTGGGACAAAATCGACTTCGCGAGCTAGCCCGAGACTTCCTCGGTGCTCGGCCTTGTGTACTTAATCCACGTATTAACGGGAAACGAAAATACCTAGCGAAGTACAGAGACTACTTGACAACCTGACAAAGCCAAGTGCTCTACACGTGTTGTGATTAGTCTGTGACTATTTTGGTGCATTTTTACGAATCGTTTTGCAGTTGCTTGCCTCTGACACTGTTTTCCAGCGACTCCGGCGCTGTGCAACTTGCCGTGAACATTAAAGGAATTGTACTTACGCGTAGAACTTACGCTTCACGATATCGAGCGGAGGACTTTCTTATGAAAAAAAAAACTAGAAGTAACTAGCTGTATAATTTTCACGAAATCGAAATTCTAGATGAGTAATTTAAAACGCGTGAAAAGAAAAAAGAAAAGGGTGCATAATTGCGAAAGGATCGTAGCGTGAAAACGCAAGGGTGAGAACAAGACCACGAAGCAATCGTTTCTAAGGGGTTTTATAACAGAGGATAATTGTCACCAGTGCACGTATACTTTGGTCTTCCTCGGTCAGTATGAGAACCAATGCGCAGAACCGTCGTTCTTTCGTTTCACGAGATCGATCGTGCATTATCGCGCGTTGGATCGTTTTCCTTGATCATTGCTACTCGTCGCCTCGTCGATCGATAGCTCGAGGAATAGTTTCGCAACGGGAACGATACCGCGCGCGCGATCCCATGATCGATCGATCGTTCGAAAGGAACGAATGTATAGACAGAGCATAGATGTGGCGAGGACAAGTCGCTGAACGAAATGGAGACTGTGTCCCGCAACTGGAAATAAGACGACAACGACGATATCTTCAAAATTCTCCAAAGAATCTCCTTATGGGCGTTTTTAGCTAGTTTGTACTATCCAGTCTACAGTCGTGTGTTGCTTGAGTTTTAATAACTGCGAATAGCGTGTGTGTTAAACAGAAAAAAACGGGAAAGCTGCGTATGTGTTTTTCTCGTATGCTTCTCCCTACCAACCTCACTACCCTC